TTATTTTATAATATTAAAACATAATTTAAAAATAATTATGATAAATAAAAATTAAATTAGATAAAAAGTAAAAGAATTTATAAAAACTTTCTCATTAAAAAATTTCTTAAAAATATTCTCGCACACGATATACAAATATTAACAAAAGTGTTTCAACGGAACTCTCAACAGCTGTTGTAGGCCGTAAGGCTGAGCTGTTGTAGGAGACCTCCGAGCTGATATGCGTGACGACGCATTGTGTGTTTATTGCTGATTATGCTGTATACTGATTGGATGTATGCTGATGATGTGCTGATAGTCGTAGCTGTTCATATTATTTAATAATGTTTTATATGCTGATTCTTTATACTAGCTTACCATTTGTTGTTTTCATGTGTTTTGGACTGCGATGATCATACGTTGTATGGGAGCAGAGCAGGGTTAGACTGGTGATAGAGGCAGGTCTACAACTGGCAGATAGAGGAGTCTTATTTTGCTGATATTTTGATGTTTGGCCACTAGTTGGCTATTTTGGGTTGTATTTTATTTATGTACACTCTAACTCTAGTCGGATTGGGACCTTGTATATACATATATTCTAGATCTTATGTTTATATACTCGTTATTTTCTGTCTGGTATTTCCGGTGTGTTGTGCTGTGTGTAGTGACCAGTCGAGTCGTTACATAGAGGAGGTAACATACATCTTATCATTTAGGAGTCAACTTACTTGCTAAAGATTTTTCAACACTTGAACTTTTTTAACATTAATTATTCTTATTTTTTGATGATCAAGAATTCTCACTTATGATAAGTCTCATACTCTTTTTAATGAAATTTCCCTTAAATTTATAATTTACTGTGTTATAAGTTTGAATTCACAAACTTAAAAGTTCTGTTTGTCTTACTTAATGGAACTTATATATTTTATAATGTAAACAAACACACATTTTAATAAAATCTTTATTGCACTGTAGTAGAAAATTTAGATAATTTGCACGAAATTTTAGATACAAATTTTGTTGTCACTTATATTTAAAAAAAAAACCATTTTTTTAAAGCCATTTTCTTTCCTTCTACTGAAATGAAGTTTTGCTGACTTTACAAACAGACAAGAAAAATGAGGTGTGAATTACTTCAAAATTGTTTCTTATCAAAGGATTTACCATTTACGTGTCAATGAGATCTTTTAACGCTTTTAAGACACTTCACATACTGATTTATAGGAATCTGACCCCTCTGAGGACAAAATAAGTAATTTTTTGTTTTTACAAAAATTAAGGTTTTTTTTTTTTACATGTTGGCAATAAATTATAAATGAATTGGTATTTCTGACAAAAAATAAACGAATGAATTGATATTGTATTTTCTCATCAACAAAATCACTTCAATGGAGTCAAATTTAGTGCGTGTTTAGTTTCACGTTTAAAACGTGAAAAATGACGTTTAACAAAAATTAAACACAAGCTTAATTTAATCTCTTGTGTAGGATAAGAATCAATTTACAAACCCACATCAGAATAGTTATTACTTGTTATCGGTAATTAATCGGTGTTACCACACTGATGAGGGTTACCGTCATTATTAGTTCAAGTGATAACAATTTATATTTTTTAATTAAATGATTTAAAATTTTAATTTTAAGTATGTAATTAGGAATGGTAATGGTTTCGTGGAGTGAGTAGTAGGTCTCTATCTCCACCTCGTCAGATAAAAGATTCATTTTGTATCTATTTTATACTTATTTAGATATCGCAAATTTTATAAATGTTTACATGTATTATAGATATTTGTGAATTTTTTAAAATTAAAAAAATTATTATAAATAAATGTAATTTATATTTGAGATTAATTCTACTGAAATATTAAAGATAAAAAATAGATATTAATTTTTGAACTAATATTAAACGTTAATTTTGTTAAAATATTAAAAATAATACAAAAATACAAGAAAACATGTAAATATTTAATTAATTTTACTTAGTGAATATTTATGGATACATATATTACCTTAGCTATTCTCGCTTTATTTATAAATGAGTGGTAAAATATTAATACTTGTTATTTGTGAATATATACTTAAAGTATACATTTATTATTTGTGACAAATTTTATTTTTAAATATCTGTAGGTAGAATGTTGTTTTTTTGTTTTTATCATCTCTAAATATAATAAACACTTATTTAGTATGTTCTCAAGGTCCGATATTTTTCAATAAATTAATTATTATTTTTATTATGTAAATACTTCATATCATAATTCCTTATTGGATCTAAAATTTTCTACAAAGTGAACCTACTAAGATTTGTTTTTCTTTTAATTGATCAAATATTATAGATAGAAAAACTCACTCAATTTTAAAAAGGAAGACTTCATATTAACAAGTGTAATGAAGCTTAAGCAATCTCAAGAACCGAGCAAAACAGAGTGAAAGAGATTACAAACATTCATGAATTTTGAATTTGTGCACTAGTATATGAACTCCTAGATACATGGTCATCAATCATCATCATTAATCTACAATTAGAAGAAGGGGCTTGGGAGGGGCAACATTCCCATAAGTGTGTATTAATCACATTTTGAGGAATTAGGATCATTAATGAGAGGATAATTAGCTTGGGTAGCCATGGCCAATTCAAATTGCTTGAAGGAAATTGGAGACAGAGACAATAATTCAGGTGCTTTGACATTGTCCCAACCCTTGACATTATTTGTAATGGTTGACCCATCAATTCCAATATGTGTCACATGCTTCACATCTGTTGGATACCCAATTTCCATCTCAGGTTCCATTTCCTCCACATCCTCTTTGTAAACTAATTAAATTGAAGTGAGTAAAATATTCAACAATCCACACTTTATAAAAACAGCAACAATGCTAATATAAACAAGAAGAGTTGATAAAGAGTATACTTAAGTTGATTGAGCAGAATGCATGAATGTTGTAAACTAAATTCGATATTCATTAAAAAAAAAGAGTTGACATAAATGGATAAATTATTTTAGACACATGCATTAATAACTTAAATTTTTTTTTTTAAAGTTAATCTTAAGTATGACTCTAGTTGAGTCCCTTTGTGTCAACCAAATAAAAACTTTAAAAGATACACGTCTAATTATTTATTTTATAAATATTACTAAATTATGAACAATAGAAAATTTTCTTAAATGACAAATCAAATTTTAATAACTTAATTATATATTAATATATAGATCACAAAACAAACATTTCAATGACACACAGAGTTTTATATCACACACAAAAAGAGAAAATCTTAGATCATCGCAAAGTTAAGAGTTTTTGCCGGACTCTTCTAAATTTGTGAGGTTATTAAATTCCTTGTTTCCTAGATTTTGGTACAAAACTTAGGCTAATAATATAAAGATAATTTAATAATTACTTTTGTTAAACTATTTATTTTTAACTTTTTTTTAGAGATTTAGTTTTTAACTTAACTAGTAAGTAGTATTTTTTTAGTATATATATATATATATATATATGTGAAGAGAGTTTAAACGATATTGATATAATTTTTATTAAGTATTACATCGTTCAATAATTTTATATTAAATGTAAATCTTAAAAATTCAATCGTTAAATTGAACCCATATAGTACATAATTTAATATGTTTTGGTGAGGTCTCATTTGTTTAATTAATGTTGTGTCCGTTTCTTTAGTAGGTAGGATTCAGAAACTAAAATTAAATACAATTATGTTGTATACATTTTATTACTATAATTTAGTGTCCCATAGTCTACAGCTGGACAAAATCATTTCAATTAAGGGAGATGAATGAATGCAAGTACCTAAAATCAAAACAGGCCTTAAAATATCAAACCACTCCTCTAATCTAGCTCCTGCAATGCCTCTAAATTTCATCTACAATTCTACATATATATGTTCCATTTTCTAATTTTACCTACCCATGTAGCAATATCAATGATGTGTACTAAGATTGCTAGATGAAACATATTTATCGACAAAAGTGAGTTCTTAAAAAAAAAAAAAACTTAAAAAAGAGTTAGTCTTTAATTCAAAGACATCAAGATATCCTCAATTCTCCTTAAGAAAAAAAAGACTCATGTCTATAGGATCGGTATAAAGATAAAGCTAATAATATTCAAATTTTAGGATTATTGTTAAAAAACATTTTATTATTAACTTTTTGTAAAACAAGAAAGTTGCATATATTAAAAAAAATCAATATATAATTTTCTAATTTAAAATAAAAATTCACTCGTTGGCATGTCAATTATGTCTAATATTTTTAAATTGGACAAAAGGAACACATAATTAAAAAATAATCATCTTATGTATACTTTTTTTACTATAGTATTGACAGAGATTAATCATCTAACATATACATGCAATTATTAAAAACAAGAAACATCCAACAAAAGAGAAATATATATCAGAATTCAGCAAGAGGGTGGGAATAATGCACCTACCATAACTTACACGCATTTAAGTCCAAATTTCACATACGAACAAATCATAATTCACAACAAACAAAATTAATGAACAGATTGTGCTACTCACAAAATAATTGAGAAAAATTCTTGAAGCCCTTGATTAATCTCTGTATGCCAGCAGCTACATTAGGCTTTGGTAGAACCAGAAACCCAGAACCCCTCTTCATCTTGGTTGTGATGATTGATCTATCTTGCCCTTCTTGTCTTCCTTGCATACCAAATATCTCAAATTATAGATATCACTCCAAGTAGAAGACAAAATTAAAAATGAATAGAGAGATAGAGAGTACTTGAAACAACATGGCCTTTTGAATCTGCTTTTGTTCCTTTGGGTGCACCTAATTCCACACTTGAATGAGAAGCACATCTGAAAGAGAATGGAAGAACCACTAATCTTTCCATACGGTTTTTCATATCTCTCCCTAAACCAAAGTTTTAGGTGTATATAATATGGTAGCAATGTTCTAATGTTCCAGAGATTATAGGCTAGCTATCTATCAACAGGGATCCTAGAATGGGGTTATATTTAGGTTCCTGTTTGTCTTTATGAGCAAGCTAGAATGATTTACGTGGGGAAACAAATTATTTTCAATCCAAGTTTGGTATGTGAGATAAAGAGTATATATAAATTATGATAATGGAGTGGGTGTGTTAGAGCAATAGAGTGGGTAGTTGGTTAAACTGTGCAACTCAACCTGCTTTAGGAATTTGTACCAAAATTAAAAATACCTTTTCAGATTAGAGTTTGGAAGGCTAATAATTAATCTGGATTAATATTGGGTTTTAAATTAACTTATGTTTATCTATAATATTCTTACATCAATTAAGAGTGAAGATTAAAGGTAATTTATAAGCACTTTTTTTTCTTAACTCATTAAATTTTTTTTAAAAATAAAATCATGAAAATCCAATAAATACTAAATTGGTAAAATACTTGAAACACAGTAAAAATAATAATATAAGTGTTTTATGTTGAAACAATAATCTCCATCACCGTATTCTAAAGTGGGCTCCTCCTAACTAGCATCACTTGTGTACTAAGGCATTCTTTTTCAGAATTTTCACATCTTTGCATCATCGAGTTTTTGCTCCCCTCACTTTATTTCCTTTATAAGTATGTCATTTTGAAATCATTAGCTAACTTAATCTGAGCCTATCATTGAGTCTTACTTAACTTGTGTATATCAACATCATAGAGTGGATCACAAGGGAGCTCTGCAAGTAATGTTTAAGCATGTGCCCATCTATTTTTTTTCTTCATGATTTGGTAAAAATATGTTTCATTTTATTTTGTTTGAAATTCAATTAGTTGGGTGGTGTGATATGCTCATATGCATATGTACTTTTATTAGTCAAAGACAATTTTTGCCGGTAATGAGTTTTGACAACTGGTTTTTGTGGGGATGAAAGCAAGTTTCAATAATTTTGTATATGTTCTAATGAATATTTTTCTTGAAAAGCATGTTAATTTATGTGAAAAGAATTTTTTTTATTTATAGATTTTCGTGAAGAAACATTCTTTTGGGAATCTTGACTAAAAAACAAAATTTTTGACTGATGGGTGCATTCAAAGGTAAGATAAATTACGTTGGAAAAAATTACCATCATCACAAGGCAGAAAGAATTCGAAATATTTTTAATAAGTGCATAACACTCTCCAAGGAACCTAACTATTCAAGTGGCAGTAACAAATTGAGACGTGTCACGACATGAAAGTAGGAATATTAAACATGTTATGGTTTATAAAAAGAGTTGATTTAAAAGAAAGTGATAAGAAGAGTTAGCTGGATTGATTGAATATAAGTTTATATATATTTTATTTTGACTCGAGTCAGTCCCATATGACTTGGTTTTATGGTATAGTCCAGGCTAATAGGTTGATCTGATGTCTAATTAATTATTTAGGTAAAATATTATGAATAAATTGTATGATATGTAATTGTAAGGTGTTTTTTCTTATTTTCTCCAGAGTAAAATTAATTAATTGTGCTACAAGACAGGAATTTTTTTTAATTGACCTGTAATATAATTAAGCTGGACCAAGTTTAACTGAAGGGATATTGACACCCAAATTACTATTTATTTTTACACCACCCAAATTACTATTTAAATTCCTTATTTTTTAGAAATTTTTTTTTTGACATTGGACATTCTCTATAACATAATAGTTATTGTTAACTATTAAAGTTGGAACGGTCTAATAGTAGATGTTAAAATGGTATGTAAAATATCTTAAGTTTGAAGTTCTGTCATTATATTTTGACTGATTAAAAAAAAAATATAAAGTTATTAAAAAAAATAGAAAGTCGTTTTCCTTGTGTTATATGTTTTCGTTGTGCATCAAGACATAACGGAACATGTTTTCTATTTTTTTTTTGTTGAATCGCGAAAGAGAAAAGCACAAACATTTTAATATTAATTGAAATAATTAGGATACTTGTTATCCTTTTTTAATAGTAATCAAATCAATTGTTATATAAATTACTAACAATTTATATCATAATTAATTTAATTAACATTAAAGCAATTTGTATCGTAGTTAAATTGATCAATAGACTGATAAAATATCAATCTATATTAAAAGGGTAAACAGCACCTAATCAAAATTAATTTAAATTAAAATGATAATGACTACTGAACAAAATCAAATGTTATGTTTAGTTGATTTACTTAATCCTTGACTCAGATAAAATAAGAATGGATAAAACATTAAAATTGAGCTATCATTATTTACACATGATAGCAATTTTTATAAAAAAAATATAAATAACTTACGTTTTCTTTTTTCCACCAAAATAAAATGTTACTCAAATGAAAACATTAAATAAAAATATGTCAAAATCATGCTCAAGTAGTTTAACACTTGTGTTATAATCATAGATAAAAATTTGATCATTGACTTAAGTATAAAATCGTGACCAAAAATACTATGTACTATGTCATGTTTATAGGGTTTGATTCGGTGAAAAAAAGTCACACTTTCTTATCAAACAAAAATTAAAAAAATATTAAAATGTTAAATAAAGTATAAAATTAATTTATATAAAAATCGTTATTATAAAATAATTAGACAAATAAACAACTTATTTAATATAAAAAAATTTAATTAAAAATAATTTTATGTAGATATATTTTTTATTATTATTATGCAGCCAGCCTTGTTGAAAAGGTTAAAGTCCAGTTTTATTTTAACAGATGATTTGTTGGTAACTAATAGCTTATAACTTATAACACTACGTGAAATAACATTTCAAGAAATGCGACTAATCTTTATCAATCAGCTCTGTTTTTATTATAAAAAAAACTCTGAACCTAATTCAACAAGAAGCTAACTTTTTTACCTCACTAGACAGATTCTTATATAATTCCATTATTCTATGATTAGAGATTGGTCAGTGTTATCTTGAGTATTTGATATTAACAGTATATATATATATATATATATAGGAGGGTTCAAACGACACCGTGTTCCACCACTCAATAATTTTATATTAAATATAAATTTTGAAAATCCAACCGTTAGATTGAAAGTTATTGAGCGGTGTAACATTTAATAAAAGTTATACCGCTGTCGTTTGAACCATCCTTATATATATATATATATTAAGATTTTTGTCTCTAATTTTATTCCTAAACACCCCTTCTCATTAGCTTCAGAATCCTTCAGTTCAACTCTCAATTCTTCAGTTTGAGAAATAACCCTGTTATAGGTTCAAAGATCTACAAATAAATGAACCCCATAAACAAGTTAAATGTCCAGAACCAGAACAAGTACAGTATAATATATCCCACATTCAAGTAATCTTGAACTTGCCACAAACACAACTGAGTAATAGATTATTTTTATTCCTTAACGCTATTAGCTTCAATACGGAAATGAATAGATAAGCGTAAACTACACTTTTTTTGATAATTAGTTTGTTTTTTGCAGATGTCAGTTTTGTTATCTTCAATCAATTGAATTTCACATGTATATCAACTGGTAATGAATTAGATTCCATATGAGATAACAATGAAATATATACCTGGTAGTACGTAGAAGCTAGAAATTATTTATAGCAATGAAATATTTTGACATGTTGTGGGGAAATAAATACAAAGGATATGTCTATTCTCAAAAATGAAACTGAAATGAAAATATGACTAACTAACGAACAATTTCTGCCTGCAAAATCTTCCAAGTTCTAAGATATGATTCAAAAGAGTGCCTGTAAAATCCATCTACAAAGGGCAATAATTTCTGAATTTTGTTGATTTAGTTTGTAATTTCACCTGACTTGAGACCAAAAGAAACATAGCATCCTTGCCTTGCCTCCTAGGAACTCGTGTAATTGTCAATTGTAATGTTGCTTTTTATTGCTTCTATTCTCCCAAGAATTCCCTTCACTGCTACATCAAATGCATCTTCAAAGTTCTCTAATCTAGAACCTGGATAACGATATATTATTCTTGGAATAAGTCTTATAACCTCTTTTCTCATTGCCAACACTTGATGTTTGGGAACTTTGGACAATATCTCACTGATCGTTACTCTATTCTCTGTGACATCTGTTTGTGGTATGTACACAGAGTAGCTAGAACCATTTTTGGGAAAATGCCACAAATATTGGTCATATGCTGATTCTGGACAAAAGAAAACAGGAATACAACCTGCCAAAATTGAGTCAAAAGTTGATCTTCTAGTGTATGAATCCCCTGGAGGCTGAAGACAAAAGACTGAGCTCTGAAACACCTTTGTAACATGCACAGGATCATTGCAACGATCCCTGGGACCATCAAGGCAGTTTAGAAAATTGCAACTCTTAGAAGATTGGCAATGTTTGATTATCTCATTTCTGATGCTGGCTGATCTACTTAGCCTTGGACCACCTGCAAATGAAAACAAGTAACGCCTTTTCTCTTCTGCCACCTTTTTCTGCCACTGAAAAATCTCCTTATCCTTGGAGGGGTGAAAGTATGTTGGATATGGAATTGGAAACTCATTGTTATATTCAGCAGCAGATTCAATCAGCAAAATTGACATGTTTCTTGCTTCTGGCAAAAGCATCAGCTTGGTGCCCCAATCATCATTGTCATCTGATATTCTATTGAAGTCCCAACGAATTCTCCCTCCAACTAGGAAATGATCCCTACCCCACATTCTTTTCCACTCAGGTTGTTGTGCCAGCCACTTCACTAACTCTTTTGGTGAAGCATCTCTTATTGAGACATTGTAGCCCCCCCAAAGGTACTGACCCACATCAAGGCCAGCATAGTAGGGAACGTATATAGCAGAAGCCAGTGAAGAATCATTGGTCAAGCACTTGTAGTGCTTCATTATGTTATGGAAAATAACTTCAAGTGAAAATTGGTTAGTTCTATACCAACTTTCCTTCAACAGAACCTTCTCCTTTGATTTATCAATAACCTTAAGTCCAAGGCCTAAGTTAGACATAAAAGGGCACATATCCCACCACTTCACGAGAGAGTGACAATCCTTCAGCAAATCCCTATTGAACCTCCTAGGAATATCATAAACATAGACATATTGACCTGAACAAGAATCCAAATTTCTTGTGGGAGAATTTGTAACAACTCCAACATTGTCTCTAACCAAAGGAGGGTCTCTCCAATGCACTTCACCATGTGTCACATTAGTTTGATTGGTATTGGTATAGCTAGTTTTTCCACCATCATTAAAACTGAAAGAAGAATTTGAGGGCTTGGGAATCTGTGCATGTCTTGCACCATTTTTGTCGTGAAGATAAAAGGTGATGCCATGATCACTTACAGCCATGTGATAATCCAATAGAAGCAATGACAGACAAAAAATAAATGAGGTGAGAAACACAAACCGGAGTTTATCAAAGTACTTCTTCAACGGAGGCTTGTCCATGTTCTGTGTTTGGTCTTTTGTGATTCAGTGAAAGAGAATGTGTTTGTCTCTGATGAATGATGACAATGGAAGAGGTTGTGTAATACAAAGTTGGTATATTAATTGGGGACGCCATTAAAGGAATGATCTGATATGGAATAAAGAGGGAAATATATTATTGACTTTGAAAAATATTAAACAATATTCCTTTTTAGCTTGAAAGGAAAAAAGTGAAAATAATCACAAGTAATAAAATTTAATTGAAGAAGCTATTAAAGGAATAAAATCATGGATAGGATTGAATTCCATATATATAAAGTTGCTATTAAACATTCCACAAGCAAATAAAAAATAATGCACAATATGTTTTTTGTTTGGTCACAGTATCTTTCTTTGCCAATATTCAGAGACTAATTTTTTGAGGTAAGATGAAGCAAATTTTTGTTAGCAGATATTTTTTTCTAAGAGTCTTGGAATTTAAACATCTTTTAATCGTTAGAAAACCTCACTGACTTCACAAAAAGACAAAATAAAATCGAACCATCGTTAAAGAAGCATTTGCTATAAGGATTGATTTTATTTTTTCCATGAACATGAGATTCGGAAAGTTAATTTTCAATATTTAATTTATTAATTAAAAAATAACATTTCTAAGAAATGTTTTCTAGGAATTTTTTTAAGTATGTTTCCTTCGAAATCATTCCTATAGTTAGCGAGAGTAAGCGAAAATTCTCATTTTTAAATTAAATAAAAAAAATTATTTCGATAAAAATGTTATATTACATATATTTATTTATTTAATATAATAAAAATATTTTAAAAAATTATATTATTTTTATTTGTCTGTTTAATGCAGTAATTTTTTTTAAGTATCATTAAAATATTCATATAAATTATTATGACTAATTAAATGAATTTTAATCATTCCACAGATCATAATTTCAGAATTTACAATTCTTAAAAATTATGATTCTCATATTAAAAAAATATTCTCGTGTATTTAATGTCTCCTAAAACATTAATTTAAGTTTGTAATTAAAAAAAGAAAGTATCCAGATAGTACTTTTGTCTGTTTGTAGATGTCTAAATACTTTTTTCCATTTTCTTTACCACGTACGTGTTTAAAGAACATATCTTATATCTATATGACAAATGACAACCATACCAATATACCATTACTATGTTGCTGTTTTTTGCGTTAATAAATTACCTCACTCTATATATGGTAACCAAAACACAAGAGATCTGCTGCACAACATGCATTCATGTCATTATGATCCAGATTCTTTTAACATATACAATTAATGTACATATGGTATTATATAATTGGGTTTAGATGAATGTTTATCTGTTAATAAAAATTATCATTTATTTATTATCTAAACAGTCTTCATTGTTCTTTCATAGTCCTCCTAGCAGATTAATCACCAATTTGTTTCAGACACCAGAAAGATATGTGCCACAAAGAAGGGGCATCATATAGGGTCTCTTCTCTTTGTTTAAATTTTAAAAAAGTGATATATTTTTAAGTGATTTTTAAATAAATAGAAATCAAAATGTGCTTGTTTATAATCATAAAAAATATTTTTTAATTAAAATCACTCTCCTTATTATTATTATTTTTTACTTTTCTTCTCTTTTTTCTACAACAGCTGTTTTTTTTTTTTTTTTTTTTTGTGATAAACAAATTGGATTTGTTTCACAAAATAAGCACTCCTTCTCTATCTTTAAAAAGTTTACCCAAATATTTTTTGAGAGATATGTTTACCCAAATATAATGGAAATTACTGATAAGTTATTATTTCACAAAATAAAAGTACTTATTTTTTTTATAAAAAAAAACAGATTCAAAAGTATATATTCACCTATTTAATTAATTACTGATCTCTCAAAAATAAAAATAAAAACCTAGTTTAGCATCTAAATTGTGTTCATTGTCCTTTATGCCTCATCAACCTTGTTTATAAGAGACTGACAATCACTCATGAACTATACAACTGTAGCTACTCATAACTATGACATATCAAATACACATATATATATATATATATATATA